TGGAGGCAAGGATTCTGGGGCTTCGTCTGACATACTTTGGACATGTTGTAAGGAGAGACAGGTCCTTGGAGAGGGACATCATGCTTGGTAAGGTGGAGGGACAGTGCAGGAGAGGAAGGCCCTCTATGAGGTGGATTGATTCAGTGACTGGGGTAATCGGGATGGGTGTGTCAGAAGCCATGCGATTGGCACAGGACAGAGCGGGGTTTAAGGCTGTTGTACATAGGGTCACTATGAGTCGTAAACGACTCAAAGGCACATAACAACACAACAACACACAGTTGTTTATCTGTGAAATGTGACTAGTAATTAACATATTCCCTTTTCCTCTCTAGTAACTCCCATAAATAACTGAATTACATTGTCATAATAGAAAATCACAGAGTTCAGAATTAATTCATTATCAACTGAAAACTTGGTCTGAATGTTCCAAATAGAACAGTTAACCATAAGGCTGCTCTTCCCTTTCTACCATTTAAGAAAGTCGTGTGTGGAATCTCTGAAAAATCTCCCTGTCTCATGTGCATTTCTTCTGTAGACGAACCAGCACAGCCCTGCCAGAATGAGAAGTGTTCTTTAATCTTGGACTGCAGTGGGCTGACCTTTTTTGACTACTCTGGAGTCTCCATACTTGTAGAGGTATGTACAGAGTCTATGTTCCACGGATTCCTTCCTTAAGTAGTGGGAATGTTCACTGTGCCTTTGTCTCAGCTCCAGGATCTGGAAACCTGTTCATGGCTACACTCATCGCTTCCTGTTTCCTCCAGTGGACACTGGACTTTATGCTTCCCATCATCTCAGATTTGTTTTCAGGGGATGGTTCATCTTTCTAGGTGGTCCATTTACCCAGTGTGTAATGGAAGTGGAGGTATTTGTGTGTGGTAGTTAGGGTGAATAAAACTTGATTTAAGATGTAGCTAGGCACAAAATCTATTAAGAAGTCAGTTTAAGAGGTCGCAGGAATAAAGACTAAGTCCCTTGTAGTTGTTGTTGTTGCTGTTGTTGTTAAGTGCTGTCAGGTCAAGTACGACCCAGCGTGATGGTATGAACAACAGATATGAAGCATGTCCTGTCTTGTGCCATCCTCACCATCTCTGACATACATAAGCCCATGGCTTCAGTCATTGTGTTAATCTGTTTGGTTGAGGGTCTTCTCTTTTCTTGTCTCTCCATCTTCCAAAACATGATGATCCTTTCTAAGGAATACCCTCTCCTAGTGACATGCTAAAACCATGTGAGAAGAATTTTCATTTTTGCCCCCCAAAAGCATTCTGACTGCACTTTCTCCAAAGCAGATCTGATCTTTTGGCAGTCCATGGGGTATTCAGTACTCTTCCAACACAACAGCTCAAAGACATTAGTTCCTCTGTCATCCTTATTCACTGTCTAGCTCTCAGACACAGAGCAAGTGATTGAAAAAACCATGGCCTGAATTAGACACAAATTATTCCTCAAATGAGGTCGTTGTTCCTCAATAATTTGGGGAAGTACCTGATTACAGACTTTGCCAGTACAATATGTCTCCTGATTTCCTCACTGCTGATACCAATGGTGTTGATTATGGATCCAAGTGAGATGAAGTTGAGAGCTTTAATCTTTTCTCTATCTATCGTGATGTTGCCTATTAGTCTATTGGTTAGAATTTTCATATTCTTGACATTGAAATACAATCCATATTGAAGGCTCTATTCTTTGGTCTTCTGCAAAAGAAGTTTTAAGTCTTCTTCATGCCAGCAAGCAACGCTGTGTCATCTGTGTAACATAGGTTATTGATGAGTCTTCTTCAGATCCAGGTGCTACATTCTTCTTCACATAATCCAATTTCTCAAATAATTTGTTCAGCGTACAGTACAACCCTGACTGACACACCCCTTTCTTTTCACCATATGCCTTGGTCTTAGGAAGATGTATAGTGCAAGAAGATACTGTTCTTAGTCTTCCAAGCAGCCTCTTATGCATGAGTTCTATATCCCTGGTGCTTCATCACTAAGATATTAATAAATAGAATTACCTTTGTTTCTATAAAACTGACTTAGCTTTCAAGGCTCAGTTTACAAAGGTGGAAGAACACCTAATTTTGTCAATACTTCAGACACTTTTGCAATTTTTCTTGTTTTGAGAAAGCATTAATTAAGCAAGGAATTCACTCCCTTTCTTCTTGTTTTTCTTTCTACTTGTCCCTAAAATCAGGAGCAGGGGCTCTTGTAGGTGGGTTAACCTCTCTTCCTCCACTGTCCTCTGTCTTCCAATTGCTCCTGTGGCATGTAGCTCAGCTCACATCGTCGTCAGGTGTTTGCCCCTCAGTATTTGTTCTTCTCCACATGATTTCTCTTTCCCTGGTCTCAAGAGAGTCTTACTGTGGTTTTGCGTTCTGTCAAAGACTTACTCAAGACTTTATGGAAAACGTTGGACTTCTTTTTCTGCCCATCTTTCTCCCTTCCATTACTCTCTCTCTCCCTGAACTTGAATTTCTATCAGTTCAGTCTTCTGCTGCATCTTCCCTCCAGGTTTACATGGATTGTATTGATCTTGCCGTGGCCCAGGTAAGGCTTGGCGTCATAGCTTTTGGGTGATGGTATGGTTCATCTCTTTTATTTTCCTTCTCCCAGTGAACTCACCCTGAATTGTTTGTTATGCAATGCCTAAAAAGAGTTAGTTTATTTTTGGTCATTTCCTACTTATTT